GGACCAGATGGAGAACCAGGCGCCGACGGCGAACCTGGCAAACCCGGACCAAGTGGTGAACCTGGCAGACGGGGTGAGAAGGGTATTTGTCCGAAATACTGCGCACTTGACGGCGGCGTTTTCTTTGAGGACGGATCAAGACGATAAAACTAATAAACTGATTTCCTTGACGAGTTGTATAGCACTGATGAGGTCTGGAAAAATGATGATTTTAAATAATAATAAAAAATTTTTATTTTTCCTTTTTTGCTTGTTTTTTCAACAGTCAATTATTTATTTAGTAATGAAAAGTGATATTCATTTGCTCGAGAAAAGCTGATAATATGAGTCTGCTTCAAAATATTGGGAGGTCTGAACGGGATTTATGTGCAGGAAGTTTGGTAATAAATATAAACAGTCCTTCATTTAAAAGCATAATTTATTGAATTAAATTGTAGCCAAATTTCTGCTCATTGTTGTAATTTGGTTGTTAGAGTGTTTAAGTTTGGGAAAGAAGGTTACCTTTTTGCGTACTTTGATAAGTGTAAGGAAAAAAAAAGCGTGAGCAACACTTGACTTTTTGAAAAGCGTATTAGATAGAGTATGAAGTAATAATGCACATTAATATTTAGTCAGTAGATATTTTATGTACAAATTTGAATCCATTTTTTAGCAGACGTATTGCCTCTAAACGCTGTTATTGCTATGCTAATACGATTGTTTAGCATTCCTTTGGCCTAGTTTCATCACTTAGCGAAGGAACTGTACCAGTAAATTGCCTAATGAAGTAGAATACTTCAATGACATCGTATCATTGTATATTAAAATTTAAAAAGTTAATAAGTCAATAAAATAAATGACTGTAAATTGAAAAATTGTTTTTAGGAGAAGCAGCAAAAAGCAGTTTTAGGGTTGCATTCAAAAAATAGATGGGTGATTTCAAAAGGAAAAAACTTTAAAAATTTACATCTTTTATGAAAAACAGTAAATAATTCATAAAAATTACCTCTTTAAAATTACAGCATCAAAGATTACAAATATATTCATAAAGTTGTTTAAAAATAGTAAAAAATTTTACACCTTTTTTTTATTTACATCTTTACCTTTGTTATTGTTCTCTCTCCTGTACTGTTGCTGCTAATGTTGTTTCCGTTCATTTACACACACACACACACACACACACACACACACACACACACAGCACACACGATGCAACTTTTCAAATCCAACTATCTTTTGTCGGTTACAGTTTTCCATTTTTTGTAGTAAAAAAAAAAATATAGAAAAGAAAAGAAAAAAAGAAAAAAAAAGCAAGTTAAAATAAGTTATAATAGTAACGTCAACATCTTTATTTTTGCTGATATGTTATTCATTTTCAGACAGAGCAAAGTTGGAGATAAATAAACAGAGAAGAGAGGAGGGAGTAAAGAAAGGAAGTGGAGGTGAGAGACGGAGCGGGCTAAAGACAGGTGAATCAAAAGAAAAGAGCGAAAAAAAGAGAAGAATGAAGAGGGGACAGTAAAAAGAACCCGTTTTTTCTTTTTCAGCAAACCATTCAATGCCATTTGCTGCTATTTTATGATGCGTTCAGTTTTTGCAGTCACACTGTGCTGTCACCAAAAAACTAACAGAAAAAAAAATTTTTTTATTTATTTCTTTCCTTTTCCTTTCTTTTTTTTTTTCATCTTCTACAAATTCATTCTACTTGTTTAACGTTATACAAATCTGTATTTGTCCATTAAAATTAAGTTCCATTATTTAGGCAACAGAAAGCAATAAAACATTATAGTTACTAATTGTTCGTCAACAAACTGTTAGGCTTCTTTTGTTTTTTTTTTTTTT